ACACACACACACACACACACACACACACACACAAACTGATTAGCTCATCCCATTGACAACAGAAAAAAACGTGGAACTACAAAATGAAATCAATGTCAGTTTAACATTTGCAAAAAGATGATGTTTAATGTTTCATGTTCAATGGAATGTTTCGAACAAGACTGAAGTGACTCTGGAATTATATCTATGGAAAAGAATCCTCATAAATATTATGTAGGCCTACATTAAAATACCTCACAGGCGTATACTTATCAAAATATACACGAGACCTTATTTGTATGTACAAAGCAGAACTCAAAACTGATGATTTAAAAGATAAATGCTTGGCAGTCACAGAGAGAATGGGCTCTCAAAACAATGGCAGAAGAAGAAGAATATAATATAATCACTGAACAGCATACGGCACTATCGGGCGTTACCTCAAGGGATCAGAATGATAAGTACCTTGAATAATATAATATAATCACTGAACAACATACGGCACTATCGGGCGTTACCTCAAGGGATCAGAATGATAAGTGCCTTGTCTGCCTTTATTGGCATAGATCTATCACCCAAAAAAATATTTTTACAAAATTCATTTTTAGCATAGACTTATTCAGTGGAAGCCATAACAGTACCTGTATGTGACGATTTGTGGTGGCTAGTTGCCGAGGAGAAAAAAAAAAGAGAGAAAAAAAATATTTTAAAAATTGAAAAATAGAATTCTAAAAAAAGAAGCAAAACCCCCAGACGACTGAACAATTAGCATTATTGATGTCCTGAATACAGGACAGATCGTATTACGGCTCATGCGCACGGCATTAGTCAGAAGTCAGAGGGGTTAAGCTCTTTTTTTTTAGAAAAAAAGAAAAAAAACAACAAAAAAAACCCACAAAAAAACCCGCAGAGTATGGGACGAGTAATGTCAACGAAATGGGTACAGTGCAGATCGTGTTACGCACGGCACACAGCATTAATGTATAGTCTGTGGTCACAAGAGTTAAATGCGATTTTGCCATAACATTCCAGATCCTGCGACCTTCACTTTCGCAAGATCTATACGCATTAACTGTGTCATGCATAGTTAGGCTCATACTATCTGCAACAAAACGCCGGTTTGAATTTCGCTCTTGCTCGACGAATGTGGGCCAAAGGAGAGCGTTGTCACTCAAAGCTCTGGGGGTGGGGGGA